GTTAATATGAGGCATAAAACCACTAAGGTTAGTTTTAGAGAAAATGACATGGGCTGCGATAAAGTAGACCGGACTCCGGCGGTAGCAGATTGTTGCATTCCAATGTATATGACACTGGTAACCCACTAGGGGGCACTGTCAGGACAGTCTGAAGCCATTCTATGGGACTGATAACCACTAAAAACGTCCATTTAATGGACTGATAACATCCAAACCAGCTGGAAGTTACTCTCAGTGGGTAAAGTTTCCAGAAATTTTACTCAATTAGGAGTTGCAATACTTCATAGTAAAATTAGGCAAGTTATAGTAAAGAGTACAGCATAGTAAAAATACTCCTAAAATAATTTTTCCCCAAAACGTTACTCAACTAAATGTAACTGAGTAAATGCAACTAATTACTACCAAACTCTGTCCAAGACGGACCAGGACTACAGAGAATTGTTGTCGTTTAAATCGACTTCAGTCTAAAAAAAATTCTAAGCATTTTATTTGCAACAGTTCATGTATCTGTGCCAAATCATCACAGTACAGATGTTTTGGACAAGTTTAATAAAGTACATGATAAATATATTAGCCACGGGTGATCATCGCTCCCATCTAGAAGCGKGTGCATGTTTTATTTAACTGTGTTTTACTAACAGCTGTGACACAAAAGAAGTGAGTTAAAGTGTTTTACATCCAACATGAATGGTTGGTTCAGATTAATAGGCAGAGGCCTGAAGTCCTGTTTGTTTCAGATCAGCTGGTTTCCTGGTCAGAAGCCATGACAGCGATGGAGAATGATGAGCAATGAGGTATGGCAAGAAGTTGTGTCATATAAATCATGCTTTGAAAGAATAGGGCAGGATGTTTGTATATTTATTTTATAAAACACCCTTTATATCAAAAATAATTTCCCCACATTAGCACTCACCTCCTCCCTCCCTCAGTATTCTGACTTTAATCCCAGTTGCACCTCTGTGTGGACTTTTCAAATAAACTCCACTTCAAAATATCTGCACTGGTTTTAAAAGCAACAACTTCTAACCTGGTTTAGATCCCAGACCAGAGGTTTAGCTGACTCTCAGCACTTTACAAACTCACAAATAAATGAGTTCAATTCTGTTTGATCGGGATGAAAATGTCACTTTCCCCCCATTCTGTTTTTTCTTTTATTATTATTTTTGCTGTCTCTAAGCYGGATCAGTACCTTCCAACATTTTTGTCTGGTTGCCTGGGAACTACTCTCAGTTAACAAATATTCAAGCGCATAATGCCCCCACAAACCCAAAATATAATCTTCTTAGTGCTACAACACAATGCAGTTTGTGGAGAGGGTTAAAATTGCAAATGCATGTAATGGTTTTTGTCCAGACTCAAATGCAGAGCAAAAAAATACTTGCAAAAAAAAAAAAGTTTAAATCACAGCAATCACCCCCCATGTAGGACCTTGTAAGTATAGTTATTTGTTAAAACACCTGCCTGCGGAGACGATCTTTGCTCTGGGAACACGTGGAGTGGACCTCTGAGCCGCACTGTGGTGCACGCTCTGTTTTCCCGGCTGCCCTGGAGTTATGGCAGCTCGGTTGGAGTAATTCTTGTGGCTCTGAACCCTTTAAAGGTCCCCGGTGGCTCAGGCTGTAATGCTCTTCCAGGTTTGGCCAATAAGACGTCAGGAGCTGTGGTCGGACTCACCTATCATTTCTCAATGGTCTTTTTATTACATTGACAGAGCAATAATGTGGCAAAAGTGGGGAATGATGGAAAACACAAYGCAGGATGATAATTATGATTAAAAAAAGGACGCAAGATAAATGGAAAAGATCATAACCTGATATGTAAGGCTTTTTTATTTTTTATTTTTGGTGTTGTTGCCAAAATAAGCTTTGAGGACTAAAGCCATGCGTACACACAGGGTCTCCCTGGGTTCACGCTTCAGTGTAGCTGGCTTTATCTTSCCCTGGACACACAGAGGACATGAACATAAACTCCAATCTATAAAAAAAAGGACCAATATGTGAAAATGAGTCATCTACAGTCACCGCAAAGCACTCAGATATTTCAGCCTTAAAATATTTTCGGTCGGACCGAGGCTTAGCCGTGATGAGTTTATGGCTCCGGCTGCACAGGTTGTGCACATGATACGGAACGAAATGTGTTCGAGTAGATAAAATCGTGGGATGCCGTTGCCAGGCAACCATAATTGCGGGCCAGTGACTCCTTGTTACACTCTAATGTGACAGCAAGATGTGAATGAGTGAAGAAGAGTCTGTAAAAYGACTGATGCCACTCGGGGTGCTCGGAAACATACATCAGCTCTGTGAAATAATTTAAACCACCACTAATTTCTTTATTTTTTTTTACTTTTACGGATCCAGATTTTTTTCCCACTTATTTTAAGTGGTTGTGATTAAAAGTTATCTRGGATTTTCAAAAGGTCTTTTAAAGTTTTATTTGGCTGCTTTTACCACTGATTTCCAGCTTAGTGCTGATAATGACAGCTCCTGTGCTTAATAACATGAGGAAAGTGGACAAGTGCAGAATATACATACATATATAT